CCTACCTAACTTCACACTTCCCTTCCGCAGTTCACCCTCCCCTACTTTACTTTATCCCCCTTCACCATTTCACCCTCCCCTAACTCACTTCACTTTTCCGTTTCTCGCTTCACCCTCACTTCTCCCTACCCTTCTCTCACTTCACTCTCCCCTGCTTCTCTTCACTCTCCTCTTCTTCATATCACCCTCCCTTAACTCACTTCAATCTCCACTTCCTCATTTCATCCTCCTCTTCCCCAATTCATCTTCCCCTGTCTAATTTCACCTGCTTCACTTCACCCTCCCCAACCGAACACTCACTCCCCTTCCTCGCTCCACCCTCTCCTACCTCACTTCACCCTCCTCTAACCTCACTTCACCCTCCCCTTCCCCACGTCACCCTATCCTTCCTCATTTCACCTACCCTACCTCACTTCACCCTTCTTTTCCTCACTTCACCCTCTCCTGCCTCAATTTACCCTTCCGTACCTCACTTCATCCCCCCTTTCTAACTTCACTCCCCTCTTTCTCACTTCACTCTTCCCTTCTTCTTTTTTCTTTTCGTCACCTTCCCCTACCTCACTTCACCCTCCATAACCTCACTTCATCCTCCCCTACTTTACGTCACCATCTGCTGCCTCACTTCACACTCCCCCTTTTCACATCACGTTCCCTACTTCACTTCACCCTACCTCACCTCGCCCTCCTCTTTCCACCCTCCCCTGACTCACTTCACCCTCCCTTACCTCAATTCACCCTCCCCTTCCTCATTTCATGCTCTCCTTCCTCACTTCATCCTATCTTGCCTCACTGTATAATCCAATTCCCCATTTCACCCTCAACTTCTTCACTTCACCGTGCCCTTCCTCAAATCACTCACTCTTTGCTCACTTCACCCTCCCCTGACTCATTTCACCCTCCCCTACCTCACTTCACCCTCCACTTCCTCTTTTCACCCTACCCTTCCTCACTTCACCTTCCCTTGCCTCACTTCATCCTCTCCTCTCTTACTTCAACCTCTCTTGCCTAACTTCACCCCTCCTCCATTTTACACCCTCATACCTAATTCACCCTTCCCTTCCTCTCTTCACCCTCCCCTACCACATTTCACCCTCCCCTTCCTCACTTCACCCTCTCCTACCTCACTTCACCCTCCCCTTCCTCACTTCACCCTTCCCTTCCACACTTCACTCTCCCTTTCCCCAATTCACCCTTCCCTACCTCACTTCACCCTCCCCTGTCTCATTTCACCCTACCCTACGTCACTTCAAACTTCTTTTCCTCACTTTACCCTCTCCTGCCTCACTTCACCCTCCAACACCTCACTTCATCCTCCCCTTCCTCACTTCATCCTCCCCTGCGTCACTTCACCCCGCTCTTCCATTTTCACCCTCATACCTAACACACCCTCCGCTTCTTCACTTCATCCTTCTCTTTCAGATTTCACCCTCCCCTACCTTACTTCACCCTCCCCTTCCTCATTTCACCTTTCCCTTCCTTACTTCTCCCTTCCCCACTCATTTAACCCTCCCCTACTTCACTTCATCCTCCCCTGCTTCACTTCACCCTACCCATATCTCACTTCACTCCTCCCCTTCTTCTCTTTACCCTCCTCTGACGAACTTCACCCTCTTCTACAACACTTCACCCTCCCCTTCCTCAGTTTACCCTCCCCTACCTCATTCCACTCTCCCCTTCCTTACTTTACCCTTCCCTTCCTCACTTCACCCTCCCCTGCCTCATTTCACCTTCCCCTACCTCATTTCATCCTCATCTATATCGCTTCACCTCCCCTCCCTCGCTTCACACTTTCCTATCTCACTTTACCGTCCTCTTCCTCTCTTGCCTCCCCACTCACTTCACCCTCCCCTACTCCAATTCATCCTCCTTTCCTCAGTTCACCTTTTCCTTCCTCCTTCACCTCCCCTGCACTCACTTCACTTCCTCCTCCATTTTCACCCCTCATACCTATTCACCTTCCCTTCCTCACTTCACCTCCTCCTACCATTTCACCTCCCTACCTCCTTCCTCCCCTACCTCACTTCCCCTTACCCTATCTCCTCCCCCCTTCTCTTTCTCATTTCACCTCCCCTTCCCACTTCACCTTCCTGTCTAATTTCTCCCCGGCTTTCACCTCACCTTCACTTCAACCTCCTTCCTCCTTAACCTCCCCTATCTAATTTCACCCTCCCCGCATCACTTCCTTCCCCCTAACTCACCTCCACTTCCTCACTTCACCTCTCCTCCTATTTCCCCTCCCTTACTCCATCCTCCCTTCCCTTCCCTTCACTCTCCCCTTTCCCAATTCACCTTCCCTACCTCCTTCACCCTCCCTGTCTCATTTCACCCTACCTACGTCACTTCAAACTTCTTTCCTCCTTTACCCTCTCCTCTCATCATTCTCCAATACCTCCACTTCATCCTCCTTCTCCCACTTCCTCCCCTGCGTCCATACCCCGCTCTTTTTTTCACCTCATCCCTAACACCTCCTTCTTACTTCATCCTTCCAGTTCACCCTCCCCTACCTTGCTTCACCCCTCCTTCCTCATTTCATTCCTTCCTTCCTTCTCCCCTCCCTATCATTTAACCTCCCCTACTTCCTTCCTCCCTGCTTCCTTCACCCCTACTACCTCCTTCCTCCTCCCCTTCTTCTCTTTACCCTCCTCTGACGAACTTCACCTCTTCTGCAACACTTCCTTCCTCACTTCCCTCTTCTACCTTCACCCTCCCTTCCCTCAGTTTACCTCCCCTGACTTACCCCTCCCCTTCCTCAGTTTACCCTCCCCTACCTCATTCCACTCTCCCCTTCCTTACTTTACCCTTCCCTTCCTCACTTCACCCTCCCCTGCCTCATTTCACCTTCCCCTACCACGCTTCATCCTCATCTATATCGCTTCACCTCCCCTCCCTCGCTTCACACTTTCCTACCTCACTTTACCGTCCTCTTCCTCTCTTCGCCCTCCCCTGACTCACTTCACCCTCCCCTACTTCAATTCATCCTCGCTTTCCTCAGTTCACCTTTTCCTTCCTCACTTCACCCTCCCCTGCCTCACTTCACTTCCTCCTCCATTTTTCACCCTCATACCTAATTCACCCTTCCCTTCCTCACTTCACCCTCCTCTACCACATTTCACCCTCCCCTACCCTAACTATACCCCCTTCCTCCCACTCCCTACCACATTTCACCCTCCCCTACCTCCACTTCACCCTCCCCCTCCCACTCCCTTTACCCTATCTCACTTCCCCTTCTCTTTCTCATTTCACCCTCCCCTTCCCCACTTCACCTTCCCCTGTCTAATTTTACCCTCCCCGGCTTTAATTCACCCTCCATAACTTCACTTCAACCTCCCCTTCCTCACTTAACCTCCCCCCTATCTAATTTCACCCTCCCCGGCATCACTTCACCTTCCCCTACCTAACTCACCCTCCACTTCCTCACTTCACCCTCCCCTTCCTCACTTTACCCTCCCCTACCTCATTTCACCCTCCCCTCGATCACTTCACGATCCATTTCCTCATTTCATTCTCTCCTGCCTCACTTCACGTCCCCTTACTCTTCACCCTCCCCTCCCTCACTTCATCCTCCCTTTCCTCACTTCATTCTCCCTTTCCTCATTTCACCCTCCCCTTCTTCACTTTACCCTGCCCTTCCTCTCTTCGGCCTCCAACAATGACAATGTTAATACATTATAGGACTGTTAAACAGAACCTTAAATAGTGGAATCACAAAAGAACTTGGTGACGAATTTGAAGACAATAGACTAGTGTAAACAGGCACTAGTTAATCCAGTGTTTACCATGATCTGATGAAGAAAAGCATTTATATGGAACAATTACCATATCACTAGATTACAAGATGTAACCGCTAGACTACGGTCAGGCAGATGTGAACAAAATTAATTATGAAGTGTGTCGTCAGACATATAGCCATACACTCCAACACTATGTCCTAGACTGAAAAAAATATAACCTTATAGGGACAGATCCAAGCATACTTTGTATGCAATGGCACTGCACTTTGTCTGTGATAGCAAGATAGCTGATATACTTAGGCTGTATCCACACTTCGTATCTAATACCTAATCAAGATTCTTTGTACCGACTTAAACAATGTACTGGAAATACTTTGTAACAATCAATGGCAAAATAGCATGACTACTGGGTTCTAATAAACACCATCTATGTCCTCTGCTCTTTAATACTTTTTGCTCTACCGCTCACATAGCGAGTATGGGGTGCACACTAAACTAGCTGCTCTCCGAGGCAAAATTCAAATTACACCTTCCCAGTCTCAGTCACCTCATATTTCCTCTCTTCATCTTGCCTAACTTCACCCTGCTAATCCACCTCCTCTGCTTCACCCCACACTTCCCTGCCTCACCCCACCCTTCCTCCCGCAACCGACCCCCAGCACATCCTTCCCTCCCTCACTCCACCCTCCCTCCCTCACACAACCTCCCCTGCCTGCAGCAAATCCGCCTGTTCATAGATAGAAGTGGACTGCTTATTTTGCCTCATTGGTTTGGTTACTATAGCGAGGGTAATTCTGTCCATTATGATAGTCTTACTACGATGTAAACAAACAGTGTACCCGCTATAAATGGAAGCAATAGTATGTCCCTCGTGTAGATATGAACAACACATAATGTGAAATATATTGACAGAGAGAGATACGCCTCATATTTGAGCACTACTCCCTGTTCTGTGACATCTCAAGATTGTATCCATATTTTATACAGAGTAAATCAGTCAATCACTATGAAAAAACTTTTGACAAACTAAGAACTGAAAATCTCTTCCCGCTCTGGTCTGATAAAAACCACTTGTAACTGCTGTTCTCTAATCATTTTGCGTTGCTGCTCACATGCCGAGTATGAGGAGCAAAGTAAATTGGCTTCTACTTACGGCGAAATCCCAAAATAGTTACACTCCCCAGCCTTATCACACTATACCTTGTTTCACCACAATCTCCCTACTATACTCTACCATCCCTTGTTTCACCAAACCATCCCCTACCTCACCTGCTCCAAGAGCCGACAAACTGGGGGACGAGGAAGGAGGCGATGGTCTGGGAAGTCATATGCCTCTCTCCATCGGTGTAGTACAAGGAGACGTTGCTCATGCCCTGGTCGGCGGGGATGAAGCCCACGCCCAGTTGGATGATGTTCTCCAGCGGGTTGGTGACGGCGAACACGAACATCGGACTGACTGTGTCGGGCTTCATGGCGATCATGATCTGAAACAGTGACGAGGGAGCTCTAGTTAGCTGCTGAAGCACAACATTGATATTAGTAGTCTATGGCAAAACTGGAGTGGGAAATTTATTCACCAGAGTACACTATTACATCCCTGACATCTACCTCATTTTACTCAAAATTAATAAAATTTTGCCTTAGTTACCACCAACCTGTCCATTTAGTTTCGTCGGTATCGATCGATTTCACCTAATTACAGTAAGATTGGATAAATTCTTCATTGAACAATATTCACAATACCAACAACAGAGTATAAGAATCTGTTTATCAGTGACAACGGTGTTGGCTTTTATCTCCCACATTAAACCATTAACCTACTTTCTGGTAGCCGTTAAACCTTCTACCAAGTTAAGTCACAGTCAAACAGACACAGTAAGAACACAGTTGTTAACTCGACAACACCAGGAGTTGTATCTGTTTACATACAATCCACACGACTAGTTTCACTGACATCTGACTTCCCATTTACAAGGTGATGTGTAAGAACTCAAGGAAATATATTTACACACATACACACAATTCACACACAAGCGCAAACGCACACAAGTACACATACACACACAGTTCACACACACACACACACACACACACACACACACACACACATACACACACACACACACACACACACTACTACTACTACTTACTACTTTGCTGTCACTCTGAATCGAGTATGACAAGCATGCAGTTATGATACAACGGTATGAGTTATTAAGGAAGTCACCTACGTTGGTGAGTTATGAGGTAACTAAAGAGGCCGATACGGGACTGGCAGGGTCGTTGACAGATGTTGCACATGTGAATGGCTACATCTAGTGCAGGAGGGGCGGCGGCAGGGACTTTCCGGTGTTGGCGCTTCTCTGCCTCTTTCGGCAGTCTGGCTAACTCGAAAGTAATGCCACCTTCTTGTGTAGTGCTCCTCCAAGCGTTACGGTCTGGAATAATGGTCTCTCAGGTGAGGGAATCGATTTGACACTTTTTCAGGTTTGTCTTAAGACTATCCTTACACCTTTTCAGTTGTCCGCCAGCGTTACATTCACTAACGTAGACTCCGTTGGTGAAAGTTTTCAAGTGCCTCGAGGTGCCTCCTGTATGTGACCCAAGTCTCGCTGCTAGGTGGGGAGGACCACTGCTCGATATACGTGTAACTTTGTAGATAATTTCAGCTCGCTACAGCTAAAGACACGGGTATGGAGTCTGCCAAAGGCATGAGATGCACAACTGACCCGATGATGAATCTCTTCATCGATGTCCGCAGTGGTGGACACGTGGGAGCCGAGATACCGAAAGTAGGTAACGTTAGTCAGGGTAGTGCCGTTAAGCTAGTTGGATGGTGGAAGTGTGTCTGAACCAAGGGCAGGCTGAAAGAGAATCTGAGTCTTACGTTCATTCACCTCAAGGTCGAAGTGTGCATACGCATCTATGTAGGTGCTCAAAATCTCCTGTAGATTGCATTCAGTGTGAGCGACAAGGGTGAGGTCATCTGCATACTGAAAATCAGGAATGAAAGCGGCCAACACTTTTGCTCCTGCCTGGAGTCGTCTTATGTTGAAAAGAATCTTTATCTGGTACTCGATATCCAGCCCGCCGGCTAAATTGGCACTGGCACGAGTATGGAAGGCAGCCAAGAAAATGGAAAAGAGAGTTGGTGCCATTACACACCGTTGTTAACCCCCGTTTGGATGGGGAAGAACTCAGATTGGGTGCCATTGTGCAGGACACTGCCGTTCATGCCATCGTGGAGTTGCCTCACAATGGTGATGAATTTTTGGTGGGCAGCCAAAATGGCTGAGGGTCCACCAAAGGGCTTCCCTGTTGACCAAGTTGAAGGTCTTGGTTAGGTCGATGAAAGCCATGTACAGGTCACAACGCTGTTCTCTGCATTTTTCCTGTATCTGGAGGGCAGCAAAGATCATGTCAGTGGTGCCACGTGATGGTCTAAAGCCATATTCAGATTCTGGGAGGAAGTTTTACGCCTCAGGAAGAAGTCTGTTCAGGAGGACTCGCGCAATAATCTTGCCAGCTAAGGACAGGAGTGAGATCCTGCGGTAGGTGCCACAGTATGACCTGTCTGCTTTTCCCATGTATTCTCCAGGAGAGTGGAGACAGCTAGTAAGTGGAGGTCCTCCTGCTTTATACACCTCGACTTGGATTCCATTAGGCCCTGAGGCTTGTTATTTTTCATCTGTTTGATGGCAGTAGCTACCTCGTCCAGGGAGGAAGGATAATTGAGGTGGGTCAGCTCTGGATGGTGAGGGACCTGCTCGGTAGTCAGGACATCCATATCGGTGTTTCGGTTGAGCAGTGAATGGTAGTGCTTTTCCGGTGCTGAAATTTGCCTTCATCGTCTTTAATTAAGGATTTACCATTCGATGAACGGAGGAGGGCTGCAGCACGAGTGATTGGCCCATAAAAAGTTTTAGTGCAACTGAAAATTGTGTGCATCTTGCGCTGATATGCAATTTTTGTGTTTCACATGCCTTATTTTAAAACCATTCGTTCTTTAGATTGCGAAGTTCGTGCTGGGCTGTCGTTTTCTTCTTGCGGAAGGTATCAACTTTGGTCCGAGACTGAGGGTTGTTTTGCCAGTCTGTTAAAGCAGCACGTTTATCATCGACGAGTACATTGATTGCAGGGTCATTTTCATCAAACCAGTCCTGGTGTATTCTTTCGATCAAGCCGAGGGTCTCTCTTCAGGTTTTGTCCTGACAGTGTCGAGAATATCCCATTCGGCACTGGGATTTGGGTTGTTTGTTGTCGGGTTATTTATCAGCCCATGTTGCAGCTGCTTTCCGAAAGTATGTGCTACCACTGGATCCTCCAGACTCTAAGTATTAAAACCTCATCTAACGGCTTGCTGCCTTCGCAGTTTTGGGGCTACAGGAAGTGATAGCTTCTTTCTGACGAGTCAATGACCAGTGTCACAGCGGTCTGAGCCATGCATGGCTCGGGTGATGAGGACATCTCGGTGTTCTCTTTCTTTGACAATGATGTAGTCAATGAGATGCCAGTGTTTGGATCGTGGGTGTTGCCACGAACCCTTGAACTTGTCGGTCTGCCTAAACAAGGTATTGGTGATAGTGAGGTTGTGTGCAGGACACTTGCTAAGGAGGAGTAGGCCGTTGGGATTACACTTGCCTAGTCCATTTCACCCTATGGTTCCCTGATAAATGTCAGCATCTCTGCCAACTCTGGCATTGAAGTCACCAAGGAGCAAAACCTTATCTTCTCTGGGGATAGAGGTTAGCTCTCTGTCAAGGTAGGCGTAAAAGGCCTCATTGATGTCATCCTCTGCATCCAGTGTTGGGGCGTATGAACTGATGTAAAAGACATTATGTGAGTGATTCAGTGGGACTTGGAGCGTCATGAGGCGCTCGTTAATCCCAACAGGAATTTCAGTTAGCCAGTGTAAAATGCGTTGGGGAATGGCAATGCCAACTCCAGGCTCACCCTTCTAGACGAAGGTATAGCCAGACCCCTGTTCTGTGAGTTGATCCTCGTCTGGGAGCCGAAACTCACTAATGGCTGCTATGTCGATGTTATACCTCTTTTGCCATAAGGGCAGTTCTTCTTTCAGGACGCTCATTTGTGCCAATATCCAGAAGGGTCCTGACATTCCATGCATCGTCCATAAGAGGTTGTATAGTTTGTTTTGTTTGGATCTGTGATTATGATTGTGATTTCGACGGCATAAGGTTGACCTTACTGGGTGCTGTTGCCAAGTCAGGTTGTTTTTTTAAGGCAGGCTATGTTTGGGGCATCTTTTCTAGCCCCTCTCCATGTAGGGTGAGCAGAGTGACTCCTCGAAAGGGCTGCTGAGTTGCACAGACAGGACCGGATTGCACTGCTGTCTAGATCCCAGTGCATAACCGAAAATCTTATCTGTGCTGCCCATTGCAGTGTTGAGACTAGAGACTCCCGGTAGTCACCTTTGTCTGTCCTCATCGCTACTCGTCTATCACCATTGGACTTTTGGGGGTATAGGGGTTTTTGATGATGATGAGAGGTATGATGAGCTGGATAATGGCTGCGAGTGAGTTGGTTTTTGTGATCCAGTGGTGCAAGTGTTGCAACGACTGGGGAGAGGGAGAGTTGCAATGGACTGCCAATAGCCCAGTTTATTTGGTTTCGCCTTAGTAGTCAATCCATCCTGCATTGTCTTCCTCTGCCATTGTAGTCGTTGGGTTCCCATGGTGGTTACCTTTCCCGCCTATACCGCAGTTGGGGTCTTGTTGCAGCTCTGTAAGCATGTCTGCCTGATGCGGGGCTCCACCACAGATTTTTCGTTCGGGGTTTACTCCTGTAGTCTTACACCTACCAAGGTTAATCCGCAAAGCAGCGGGACAATGGTTGGTAGTCGCCAGTACATCTCCTCATGCAAGTGGGCTTATGCGCCGTCCCTCTGGGCCCCACTGCTACTCCGAGATCCCCTGCTGGTCTAACCCAGGCCCACGAGACACCCAGTTATCGTGTGTTGCCACGAAGAAGCACAGCAGGAGTCTTGATGGTGAAGAGGCTGTGTACTGGCAGGGTAAGATTTACGCAAGTTGCTTCTTTGTTCACCACGAGGGCTAGCCAACATTGGTAGCTAAAAGAGAGAGGAAGCAAGCAGTGCTTGCACCATAACACTAACATAATGCTGCCACACTAGACGCATTTCACCATCCTCTGTGAGAACACACACACACACACTTCATCCTTGACCACTGAAGGGTCAAGACGTATCTGGCGGTGCTCTGGCGGCCGCCAGGTCAACGGTTAGGTTGGCATACATCCCAACTCCTTTCCTCCAACACCTCCTCTCCACCGGAATATCAGCAAGTTCTCGCCAGATGTTACAATTCATTTCGGAAAGGAGTGGAACTAGTGTTGAACAGTGATTAAGCTAGTGAAAACAATGTAACAGTAACAGTAACAACTGATTGTCGTACCCAAGTTAACCTTCACACAGTGAGGACCCTGGTACCCAGTGATAAATGCC